ATAATAATAATAATAATAATAATAATAATAATAATAATAATAATAATAATAATAATAATAATAATAATAATAATAATAATAATAATAATACAGATGATCAATATCCTTCTTCTGGGTTTCAACTTTTCTCCTTCAGGATATGCAAAACGACTAGCACTGATGATGTTGCCTAGTTTGGATCATGAAACATCTGCAGAACAATCAAGCTCAGAGAGTACAAGGACCCCTCACACGAATTGCTCTCTAGAGGAGCATTGCAAAAGAACTGCTTTCAGAAATGACATCTTCCCTGGCCTGGGAAGCTAATGCAAAATGATACTGTTCAGATTGTGTTTCCCGGGCCTAAGGACATCTACACTTCCTGACTCAAAAGCCTCAGTAAAATTATTCTCCCCTTGTAGAAAAGTCAATAAGCCATTTACTCTTTTTTTAATTCAAGATGCTTGATTTAACAGGAAACAGGCTAGCTGCTCTGGTGGAACTAAGCTCCAGTGCAATGCTTAATCCTTGATGGCTGCTGAGTCAACATTCAAGCCTCTTAAGATTCTTTGAACTTCCCATAATGCATAGAACTGGCCTAATTTTTTTTCTGCTTTGCCTTATAAAACTCAATATTTGCTTTGCTTGTGTGGGAAGTACACCCCAAAAGGACAGTGCCAGAAACCTCACAGCACCAGAAACCTCAGAAAACAGTGCCAAGAGACTCAAGCCCTTCCCCCTTTAAGAAAACCAAGAATCACCAGCTGAAAGGAAAACTCAGAATAGCCCTGCTAATGGCTGTTACAAAAGTAACAACAGCTGACCACAGAAATACTTAAGTAGAGCCATTAAGATAATGGGAATCAGGCTAAAAATAAACTCTCCAAGGTAACCCAAAACTTCCTTTTTCCCCCCTGCCCCTGAAACCCCAAGGACAGGAAAAACAAAAGTCCTGGGACCAAGATTAACCTAGTAAAACACAGAACCCAGGGTAATCAGGAACACATCAAAACCCATCAAGCTGCAGGAGCTTCAAAGGGGAATTAAGCATAAAAGGTTCACATTCATACTTCCAAGCTGTTTGCAAGCCAAGAACGCTCTAGCTGTGTCATTTTTTGCCTCTTGCTTTCCTACATTAAAAGAATTCCACTTTCTAGCAGCTGGCTTCTGCTTCCATTTCTTCTCAGTGTCTGTGGTGTGTTCCAGCTGGGAATGAACTCAGAAAATTTCTTCCAACACTTGATTTTGCCGTCCCTTGTTTCAGAACAGAACCTTTCTTTGTTTTACATCTAAATTTATTTTTAGCTCCTGCTTGATCTAGAACCCTGCTTGATCTAGACTCCAACTAGGACAGAGTAATTGGGTTATCATTACCATCACAAATGACCAACTAGCCAAATATCCAACAGAAGCCATGAAAACAATTGTTTCACAGAGTTCCTAGCAGGGAATTTGGAAATCTGAATAACAGAACAATAGAGTTGGAAGGGAACTTAGAAGTCTTTTAGTCCAACTTCCTTCTCAAGCAGAAGACCTTGTACCATTCCAGATAAATAGCTGTCTAGTCTCTTCCTAAAAACATCCAGTGATGGAGCTCCCACATCCCCATTCCACTTTCCTATCTTATCCATGAGCTGCAGGAGTGGCTGTGGCAAAGAATGGCTGGGTTCATACTTCGTGCTAAGCTATAACATGGAATCTTTCTTGTTAATTTAATCTGATCTGACCCATAATATCTTATCAAGATGTGACCCCAGACATTATACTTTAACAAAATATGAGGTTTTTTTAAAAAAAATTCCTGGTTTAATATGAAGCATGAACCTAGATATTTTAATTTTTTTCTTTGCACTGATGTCACTGATGAGCTTTCTACATATCATAAAAATATTACAGCCAAATTAGCATTTCCTAAATTTGGAAGTGAATTTGAATATTCTTATTTTTTAGTATTTAATCCCAAACCTGTCCCTAAACAATGTCAGCTGATTAATGTAAATTCTTTTCTGTTCTTTTAGCCACAATATTGACCAGCATTTAAGATCTGCTAATGTTGTCTCAAGAGCTTCTCTGATGCTCAAGCTGGAAAACTACAGTTTTGGGGACAATAGTGCAAGATTGCTAATTGAACAGGAAGATATCTGAAAAAAAGAGAAACATTGCAACTTCTTTTTTACAGCTTACTTCATTAGCTGAATCTACTGCAGCATACATAATGTCCATCCAGCCTTTAAATGTTGCCTGCAAGAAAACAAATGGAGATATTATTAAGCCAAATTATTAAACTTTTCTATACTTTTCCTCCTTGATTTGTCTGGTAGAGGCAGACCTTACTGTGTTCTCAAAATCATTGCAGCCTTTCCCCATTCTGCCACTACAGGACCTCTTCTGTTCTTAAAACAACATTCATTTGCTTCTTTTTCTTCAGAAATATATAAAATCCTTATTAGGTGCAGATAACAAGCATTCAATTTTCTTGGACAAAACACAGAAATGTAAAATAATGGAATTACCTTTCCCACACTTTACTGTATTTTTTATTTTATTGTTATTCCCACACATTATTTATTATGCTGTCACTTTAAGCATCTAATTTTCTTGTCTGATTCACTTCAAATATTACAACTGGGCTAGAGGATTTGAATTTGAAATGAAAACATTATAGAAAATTAAGAAGGGAGGACAGTATTGATTTCCTTTGATCCAGCTGCCTCGTTTGATGTCCAGAACAGGATAGAAACAGAAGCATAGATTTAGTTCTCCCATCCCACCTGGTTGACAAAGGAATAATTAAAAGAGAATCATGCATTGCCTGATATGTAAAAGAAAAAAAGAAAAAACAGATGACCATTTTTTGCTCAAGGCAGCAAGATTCAACGCCAGGTAATGTTGTCTATAATTTTCCCTAACTTCTAAAGTTAGAGGAAATAATTACAACTATTATTAATTTTATTTATAATACACCTACAAGATTTTTTCCCCTCCACTTTATGAAATACTGCTTTATGAAATACCCAGTACAAACTGGGTTTAGATAACTAGAGAAGCCATCATGCTGTTACTAACCATAATCAACTCACTGTTCTACTCTGCAGTGTAAACAAAAAGGATTGCATTTGACTTTGTCCAAATAGCACAGGGGCATTTCAATTGTCTTTTTCCCCCTTTTTCCCAGCACTGATTTTTTAAGCTTTCCTCATAGCTTTTTCTCCCTAAACAAATTTCCCCACAAATCAACTCTTAACAGTCTGCTAATTAATAGCATATTGTGCTGTACAAAAGATTTTTAATGTCTATATTAAATATAGCTCCAAATGAATAATCAACCAAACGACCAACTGACCACACTGGCACACAAGATATTTGTAAAGAGAACAGGACAAGAAAATTCTGAGGAGGAGGATGTTAGCTAGTCTGGTAACAAAACGTTCAGAAACTAAATTGAAACAAGCTTGGAGAACAAACCACTGCCAAAATCTAAAACCTGAGCTACAAGCACTGTATTTTCTATTATCTCAAATACGTATATTTAAGATCCATCTAATTAAACATACCACTTGAAGGAGAGCTAGGTACCCGTTCCCAACATGATCAAAGTTGATAGTCATATTAATACAACTTTTCTTATTTTCAACGTTCCAACATGAAAATTTTCCTCCAAACAATTGCACTCCTAAGATGTTAAATGGCAGCCAAAGTACAATGCAGACAAGAAGCACATTTCCAATGGAAGGGATAGCGCCAGCCAGAGCATTCACAACAACCTTAAAGAAAGAAAGAAAAAATGGAGATACACCATTAATTCCTATTGCAAGAACAAATAGTACAGGCCGTCCTTGATTTACTACCAGATTGAGCCCAGAATTTATGTTGCTAAGTGAAAAAAATTTTAAGTAAGTTTTGTCCCATTTTATGTCTTTTCTGGTCACATTTGTTCAGTGCAAGTTAAATCAGTAACACAGTTGAAAAGTGGATCTCACTTCCCCCATTTGACTTTGTCAGAAGGTCGCAAAAAGGGATTAAATGACCCCAGGACATTGCAACCGTCATAAATATGAGTCAGTTGCCAACATCCGAATTGTGATCAAGTGACCATTGGGGGATGAGGTCATGAGTGTGAAAAATGGTCATAAGTCACTTTTTTCAGTCCCGTTGTAATTCTGAACAATCACTAAATGAACTGTTGTAAGTCGAGGACCACTTGTAGTAGGAACAAATGAGGTTGAGAAACATTGTCCTGTAGTACAGCCTCCCTACAAGATCCGAGCGCCTCATCTTGGTCCATCCCAAGCTTTGTCCTGCCCGTACATTCTAGATCAGCTGGAGGTTCAAAGTGTTTTCCTTCATTAAAAATCAGGAGAATCTGGGAGAAAAGCAGATGGACCAAAGAACAAAAACAAAAAAATGTATCCAGAGGATGATTTCGCCCCCTCTTACCAAGCACTATTTTGAATAATAAATTCCTAATATGAAAGTGTTGTGTGTTAGGTAAAGCAGCATTATTCAAATATATGGCTGAATTTGACTAGGACAGCAGCGAATATTTTTCATTAGACTCTTCCTTAGAATCCTAAGTGTTCACCAATATTCCTGCAATCCTCAAAAGAGAAAGAGAAGGAGCCATGGCTGAAACAATGCATCAATCCTATTCCTTTGAAATAAAACAAAACCCAGTTCCTAAAGATAGGTATACGGTATCTGGAACATAATCTTTGGGGGAAGGAGGGAGGGAGGGTGGAGAGAAGGAAGGAAGGAAGGAAGGAAGGAAGGAAGGAAGGAAGGAAGGAA